TAATCCGGAACGGATTAACCTCGCTATGCGGGGCACCACTATATTAGGATGGTCTGCCCCAGGAGACTGATGGATCCAAGTGTTTTTCTGACAGGTCTTGGGGAGTTTCCTGTTGCCTTGGCAGTCGATCCTGTCAAAGCTCTGGCTGATCTCTGGAAAGGGGAAATGGCCATGGTGGTGGACACAATTGCTTCCTACCACAAAGTAGGGTCAGGCAAGCCCCCTGGTTCACCAGGGAGCTGGCAGTGATGAAACAAGTGGGATGGGACTAGAGTGACAATGGCAGAAAACTCAGAGTGAATCCAACCGAACATGCACTAGAGCCCATTTGAAGGCCTATTCAAAAAGGTTTGCATCTGCACAAAGTCATCCAACAGAGTTGTTTCAAGTGGTCAGGGGCTTAGTACATACCCCACCAAAAGAACAAAATATTGACCACTCCACAATCCGCTGTGAGGAATTTGCACGGCACTTTTCAGATAAAGTCACTCAGATCTGCTCTGACTTGGATGCTGTAATTGATACAGACCCGGTGGATGTAACTTTGGCCCTGGCATATCCTGTTTTAATGGATACTTTTCAGTTGGTGCAGCCTAATGATGTAGACAGAATTCTTGGAGAGGTGAATGCCACCACATGTGTGCTGGACCCTTGCTTTTCCTGGCTCATATAAGCAGCCAGAAAAGGAATGGCCAATTGGGTACAGGGAGTGGTAAATGCTTCCTAGAAGCAGCGTAGGATCCCTGCTTGCTTACAGGAGGTTTCCCTGGCTCATATAAGCAGCCAGAAGAAGAATGGCTGATTGGGTATGGGGAGTGGTAAATGCTTCCTAGAAGCAGCGTAGGATCCCTGCTTGCTTACAGGAGGCAGTAATGAGACCACTATTGAAGAAGCCCTCCCTGGATCCCAGTGTACTCGATAACTACTGGCTAATCTTGAACATCCCATTCCTGGGCAAGGTAGTGGAGTGTGTGGTGGTTTCTCAGCTCCAGGGATTCCTGGAGGAAGCAGATTATCTAGACCCATTTCAATCTGGTGTCAGGCCTGGTTATGGGACAGAGACAGCTTTGGTCGCCTTGGTGGATGACCTATGCTGGAAACTGGACATGGGGAGTTTATCCCTGTTGGTTTTGCTGGGCCTTTCAGCGGCTTTCTATATCATTGACCATGGTATCCTCCTGGGACGTCTCTCTGGAGGGCTACAAACGACCCAGCTCTGCTACAGGGAAAGAGGAAGAAGGCATAACAGCAGTCAGAAAAAGAGGGGAATGCAACATGACAATGAGCGGGAAATGAATTGTGGAAATGAACTGCAAATAAGCAGATAGCACATAGTAGAGAAATGAGTAAAGAGAATATAAAAAATACATGATGTTCAGGTAGAATTATTGGACCAAGGAGTGAATGAAAGATATAACTACTGGGATCTGGAAGTCTCTGGAGCACAATGGATATGGGGTGGTGGTGGTGAGATGACCAGTTCATTGATTTCAAGGTCAAGGTTTAAAAGTGTTTGCACCCGTGGATGTCATGGGTGAATATATCCTTTAACTACCAAAAAAAAAAAATCATCACCCTGGAATGATTTTATTGGCAGCAGCAGCAATTTTTGTAAATCAAATTCTTCTCCTGCCCTGCAGCCCCCAATGCTTTCCACATAATGAGAGGGATCCCTTTTGGAGGGGAATTGAAAACATTTAATTCATGAAAAACCACCAGGGCGCAAACTTGCAAGGCATAAACTTGCACAATAGGATTTCAGCCATTCTCTTTTTACTCAGGCCCTTATATTGCATGAAAGAAACACTGTGAAGAGATGGTGCTACTGCAGCAAACGGTAAAAGAGGTGGTTGTTTAAGACTTGCACCCAATAGCCTTTGTTCCACATGTTATTTGCCCGCTGAAATTAATTAATTCATAATTAATTCTCTTTCTCTGTTTCTAATTCAGAGTGTTGGAGCTGAGTGTATCTTTCCCCACAGAAACTGAGCTTACTATATCAGTATTAGACCATGATTTAATTGGATCTGATGATTTAATTGGGGAGACAAAGATCGACTTGGAGAACCGATTCTACAGCAACCACAGCGCTAACTGTGGATTGGCATCACAGTATGATACGTACGTACTGCAGGATGCATTGGCAAAGCAACCATGGAGCTTTTTATTGCACTACTTACTTTCAGTAATTATTATTGCAGAGATATCTGCCTTTCTGTGTAGCCAACACTTGCTCCGTAGCCTTTCCAAGCAAGATGTACTGCAGGATGCATTGGCGAAGCAACCATGGAGCATTTTATTGCACTGCTTACTTTTAGTAATTATTGTTGCAGAGATATCTGACTTTCTGTGTAGCCAACACTTGCTCTGTAGCCTTTCCAAGCAAGCATCCTAATTCAGTTTCTCGGGGGGGGGGGCTATAGTACCTAGTGCTCTCTACTGGACCACCAGCACCAAGATGAAAAAGTCAAGCTTCACATCCAAAGGTATACAATTTAGAATCTATTATATCTGATTTTTCTTTCCTTCCAGAGAAGGCTACAACATGTGGCGGGATGCATTCAGACCCTCGCATATCTTGGACAGTTTGTGCAAGAAAAATGCACTCCCATCAGCTGAGTACAGGCGAGAAGAAGTAAAAGTAAACAACAAACTTTTTAAGATCCCTCCTGAAGCTTTTCCAGAAGGTACGGCTCCATGCTTTGGGACAGAACTGTTATTTCAACAATTCATTTTGCTCATTAAATGTTTCTTCTAACATTCCACCTCTCTTTCCATCTGATCCTCCTGACTATCTCTTAACTGAGGGTATGATCGTACGCAAATACAATAGATCGCATATTGAACTGCTTGTGGAATATCTGGAGCAATGGTTTTATAATTGTTTTTAATCTTGAACAATGTTTAAATGGTTGTTGTGGGTTTTCTGGGCTCTTTGGCCGTGTTCTGAAAGTTGTTCTTCCTAACGTTTCGCCAGTCTCTGTGGCCAGCATCTTCAGAGGACAGCACTCTGTGCTCTGGTGTAGTTTGCTTGGGAGTGGAGTATTTATGGCTGTGAGATAGGCTTTGTCCTTTTCTGGAGATGGGTGATTAGTGTGTCTTGTTATGGGAATAATAATA